GAGATATCACCTTATATCTGTTAGAATGGCTAAAATCAAAAACACAAGAAACAACAAGTGTTGGTGAGGATGTGGAGAAAAAGGAACCTTCAAGTACTGTCAATGGAAATGCAAACTGGTACAGCTACTGAAGAAAACAATATGGAGATCCCTCAAAAATTAAAAATAGAATTACCATATTATCCAGTTATTCTACTACTGGGTATTTACCCAAAGAAAACAAAAACACTAATTCAAAAAGATATATGCAGCCCTCTGTTTATTGCAACATTATTTATAATAGCCAAATTATGGAAGCAATCCAAGTATCCATCAATAGGTGAATGAATAAAGAGGATGTGGTTATATATATACACACATATACACAACGGAATAGTACTCAACCATTAAAATAATGAGATCGGGGCACCTGGATGGCTCAGTTGGTTAAGCGTCTGACATGGGATTTCAGCTTAGGTCAGCTTAGGTCATGATCTCAGGTTTTGTGGGATCAAGACCAATGTCGGACTCCATGCTGACAGCAGAGCCTGCTTAGGATTCTCTCTTCCCCTCTCACTCTGCCCCTCCCCTGCTCATATTCATTCTCTCTCTCTCTCTGTCTCTCTCTCTCTCAAAAATAATAAATAAACATTAAAATTTTTTTAAAAATAAAATTTTAAAAAAGAATGAGATCTTGACATTTGCAACAACATCGATGGATCTAGAGAGTATAATGCTAAGTGAAGTAAGTCAGGGAAAGATAAATACTATATGATTTCACTCATATGTGCCATTCAAGAAACAAAACAAAGAAAAAAAGAGATAAACCAAAAAACAGAGTCTTAAATGTAAAGAACAAACAGATAGTTACCGGGGGGGGGGGGGGGGGGGGGGAAAGGGATAAAACAGGTGAAGGCAATTAAGATTACACTTATCGTGATGAGCACTGAGTGAAGTACTGAATTATTGAATCACTATATTGTATACCTGAAACTAATATAATACTGTATGTTAACTACGCTAGAACTGAAACAAATTTTAAATCATGAAAATTTTCTTAAGAACACAAAAAGTTAAGATTAAAGCTAAGATGATTAACCCTTAACAACAAAAGTATTTAGTAATGGCGCACACCAGCTACTAGGCTGAGCAAGAGTGGACCATCTCCACATTTTTTCCTGATTGGGACTTCAGTGGGAATTTCTACATTTCTTCAATAAGCGTGATGTTGGCCTTTGGACAGAAATAGATTTATTATATCATGTTAAGGAAGTATCCGTCTCTGAGTGTTATTATCAAGAAAAGTTGATAGTCAATTATCAACTTGCCCTTTCCAGCATCCGGATGACAGTTACATCATTTTTCTTCATAGATCAATTAAATGATAAATTATATTAATAGATTTCCTAATACGGACCCATCCTTGCATCCTTGCATACGGGCCCTAACTCCCACTGCTGGACTCTGTTCACTCATATTTATTTAGCAGTTTTTCATCAATATTCATAAGTGGGACAGGTCTGTAGTTTTCTTTTTTGTGCAATCTTTATCAGGTTTGGTTTTAATACTATACTTACTGCTTAAAAAGAATCTGACAATTCTTTTAGGTTAAATACTGTTAGAATGATCTGCTCTTTAAATATTTAGTAGAAGTGTCAGTGTAAAACTGTCTGAACATGATGCTTTGAGAGGGGGCAACTCTTTAACAACTTCATTTCTGCTAGAAAAATCATCGTGTTTAGATTTCCTAAATGTTTCTGGTATCAGTTTGGGTCAGTTATATTTTCCTAAAAATTATCTTTTCCATCCAAGTTTTCAAGTTTATGTTCAAAGACTTAAATAAAGAGCCTCTCATGAGTCTTTAAATTTTCAATTTCTATTACTTCCCCTTCTCAGTTCTTAAGTTTGTATATATGTACGTCCTTCCTTTTTTCTTAATAGAGAGCTACATAATTTCAGAAATTTCATTGTCACAGTTCAATTGCTTTTCAAAGAGGCACCTTTTGGGTTACTCATATTGTTCTACTGTTTTTCTACTATATTAAAGTTCTTAAAAGAGTAGTCATGAGCAGGTGTTCTACATCTCTTCCCATTTTCCAAAAAAAATCACAGTAATACAGTGAACAGTAAGAATACAAAGGCAAGAAAGCAGAGATTAAATAGGAGCTGTCAATGTTATCTTGAATGATATCTTCAAATCCCAAACACCTGATCAAAAAACAGATAAGCAATAGGCAAAACAAACAAAACAAAACAAAAACCAAACTGCCATAAAAAAAGAAAAACTGAGCTTATACAGTAATTATTTCACTGGAAATAAGATTAGTTCTCACTATAATAAACTCACATTTTAACAACATAGGAGACACTCTGAGATTTTAATTATAAGCCTTCCACCTCCTGCCTGTCTCTAGCAATTAATTGCCCACCATTTCAGTCCAACAAGCACGAATTCCACTTCTCCCCAAAGTTCTCTGAGTGTTGCTGTCTAACCAGGCACTAAAACAGAGAGAGACCGCCTCCACATATCAAAGATCAGGCAAACAAACTGCTCATATGCCCTGCCAGTCAGCCAGTGCTGTCCAGGACCCACTGCTAACCTGAAGTGTGCTTCAAATGAAGCAGTCCCGTCCAAGTTTAGTTGTAACCAATCACCCAAAATAGGATCATGTTTTGATCCACTATAGGTAGTCTGAGAGAAACTAAACCCTAGAGAAGTTTGAAGGATTGAATCTTACCTTTTTGCAAAGTAGAAATCTACTATTAGGCCACAGTTTATAAAAGAGTGTTAACTTTCTTTACGAATACTAAAAAAGGTAGGATTAAGGCTAAGATGATAACTCTTCACATGAAAAATATTTGATAATAGTCCACAAAGACAGAGCCTAGAACTAAGCTGAACCAAAGACACTGAATAGGACTTATCTTCTAAAATCAAAAGGTGCTGCTTTTGTCACAGAAGTTTTGAGAGTCAGCATACAAATAAAAAACACAGAGATAATAAAGAGAAGTGAAGGGCTGTTAAACAGATTGGAGGTTGGGGTAGAGATAAATTTGACTTTCAAACCAATAACATTAAATCCATAAGCTTCAAGCTTACAGCCACCAAAACCTACCAAGGAGGTAATCATATCCTGCCCATTTCTGGGGCCAATCTGAGAACCTTCAACAAACAGTCAAAGCAAGAGTTGTACCAGGAGTGGAGATTGGACAGATTACAATCTAAACTGAAATATTTGGGGAAGAAAAGAGTTACAACAGCAAAGTAATAAGGACATATGTGTTGCATATGCATATGCATTGTAGGCTTGGCCCTACACCCAAAAAAAAGCAGTTTACTGGTCCAGATACAGAGATGTATACATGGCTATATAAAAAGACAAGACGGAAGAGATTGGAACAGAATCAGGCCCTGATTAGAGTTACTGTTTAGAGTAACCCTGTTAGAGTTACTGGGTGGATATGACAAATAAATCATTGGCTTATTTCCATCATGTTGGTTAATCTTTTAACAAAAGTGTCATTTATGTACCAGGTAACTGATTGGGAGGACTTTGGTTAAGATTTAGCAGAACTAAATTTTAGTCAAAGCTCATCTGAACGAGTTTGGAGATCTGATCAAGATGTTTGCATTCATTTGTTTTTCAGATTTCTGGGAGGGCATACCAAAGACACCAGGAGTATGTAAAGAGGAAGTTCAATGCAAGCACTGCCTTTAAGTACCCATTTATGAATACTGGTTTATAAAAGACCATTTATTTTTAAAATAAAGTTCAAAATTAATTCTCTGAGTCAAAAAACATTTAGGACTGGCCATGAGTTAGAGTTGAAGTGAGGGAGGCATAAGAAGTACAACTGCTAATGTAGATAAACAAGTCACACAGCGTCAGTTTCCAAACTGCCTCAAATCCAAAAAACCTCTACCTTTCCCACTCTCTTACTAGATTACTGTGTACAATATGCAGACCCTCGCTGTGATCTCCTATACCTACCCAATAATTCCTTAGGGAAAAGAAAAACAGAATTCCTATGAATTTTTAAATGCAGTATTTATCTTGGCATTGAGCCATATGTAGAAGACTAATCACCATTTTCTCCTCCAACAACTCTAAGGCAGTGGTTTACAAACTATGTTCTATTTGTTTAAAGTACAAATTGTCGGGGCCACACTCTGAGAAGCACTGCACCAAGGTATGGTGCCGTGGTTTGTGGACCTGTTAACGGTCTGCAACAGAAGCTGAGGCTTAACGAAAAAAACCTTTAGTTTAACATTACTGGGCACCCGAGCGTGTGATCATTTTTCTGGCTTTTTTTTCTTACTGTATTTTCCAAAAGTATTGGTATGAGATTGGAAAATTGTTAACTTTGTAAAGCACAGCTCTAAAGCTGACGCCCCCGCCAGCACTACTGGCGAACAACCAACAGACAGGCGAGGACCAGGCTAGGGCAGCTCCTGACAACTGGGAGAAACCAGGCAGTCATGGTGAATAACAGAAGCCCGAGGGCAATTCTTGCAACCAGTACAGAGGACTGAGATACAATTTCAAAACTGCAGCTTTCATCGTTCGGTAGCATTCCATTGCTTCCCGTGACAACACGTCACCATCGCTGCAAGTAGCCAGTATCCCAGCGAACCGTGCACTAGAGAAAAGGGGAGGCACAGAAGCCGGCACTGAGGACACACCTGTGAGTAAGATCGGAAATCGGGTCAGCGCTTTTCCTACCCAAAGTTGGGAGCCATCAGGGTATTTGCACTCTAGGTGAGTTTTACCAACATACTAGATTCTATCAAAATGCTTCATACTGTTTAACGGACAGAGAAGTCAAACAAAGAAAAAGCACCGAACGCCCTCCTCCCCAAGCGGAGCCTCTCCGCGCCTGCGCAAACCCCAACCTAACTAATCCGCCGGAGGCCGGCCCTCCGCTCTCTTCCGGGAGAGCAGAGGACGCGCAGCCGCCGGGTGGTGACGCGCTTGCGCAACGACGACCACCGTGCCTTCTGCGCGTGCCCGAGTTCTTACCCGCTACGGGGATCGGCTCCTTCCGGCCAGGCAAGGCCTCCTGTGGGCTGACGATCTTAGAGGCGGAGTCGCCCATTCTCGGGACAGGAAAGAGGCTGTGGAGAAGCTTGCTAGCTCTCCTGATGGCCCAGAGCATGGGCGTGTGCTGGCCGAGGGGCCGCCGAGCGAACAGCGCTGTCGAGAGCGGAGCCGCAGCTGAGGAGTGGGCGGCGGGCGCGGGCAGTGGGACCGGCGTGCACCGGGACGCGCTGCGGGTGGGGGGTCCGCCGAGGCCGCGTGCGTTGGGGGCTGTTGCCGCTGCCGTCCCGGAATCAAGGTTACCTAAGGTTCAGGCCTGACGGGCTGTAACTTGAGGGCGTGTTCTCCGCCCGGGGGTAGGGGGTGGGGTAGGCGGCGGCCTGGATGCCGAGTCCTAGGAAGCATCAGCGAATGTTTCTGGTTCGGCTTCAGAAGAAACTTCCCAGGCAGAGAACAAATGTCCTAATGCCCTACGAAGTATGTGAAGTGACAGAGGCCAAAAGAAATAATGCTTAGCCTTTGATTTTAACGTTCGTTCCCTCAGAAACCTTAGCAGTTGTTCATGTCCAATAAGGTATAAGACGACCTCCTTTACAGGCAACGAGAATGTATGTGTATTTCCACTGGAACCATTATAATTCTGAATTATCAAAAAGATGAGTATCCAAAATAAAAACTAAGAACAACTTTTCAAAAATCTCAGTATAGGGAAGATAATTCAGAATTATGTTTTATATATGTATATATGCAAACACACACACATACGTATACACTGATAAGCCCATTTTGCAAAGGGGAAAATAGAGAAGCAAAGCACTAATACCACCATTAAAGCAGCTTATGTGAATTTAATGCTCCTGGTTTCTGGTTTCTTGTTTCTCAAATCGTGCGAGATAACATTTGTTTCTGTGATAAATTATCAACCCAAAAAATAAGGTGGGAGAAGCCAGATGGGAGACGGGAGTTCCATATGTGAAATTTTGGTTTCACACAAATGTTCTGCCAGAATGGGCAGATAGTCTCATGAGGGAAGGAACTTCAGATTAGCACCCACAGAAATGAGAAGGCTTTGACTCTACCTCCCCAGTGAGTGAGTTACCTTTTTGTGTTTTTTTTTTAATGTATGCTTTACTTATTTCTGAGAGAGACAGCATGAGCAGGGGAGGGTCAGAGAGAGAGGGAGACACAGAATCTGAAGCAGGCTCCAGGCTCTGAGCTGTCAGCACAGNTGAAGTAAGTCAGGGAAAGATAAATACTATATGATTTCACTCATATGTGCCATTCAAGAAACAAAACAAAGAAAAAAAGAGATAAACCAAAAAACGGAGTCTTAAATGTAAAGAACAAACAGATAGTTACCGGGGGGGGGGGGGGGGGGGGGGGGGGGGGGTAGGGATAAAACAGGTGAAGGCAATTAAGATTACACTTATCGTGATGAGCACTGAGTGAAGTACTGAATTATTGAATCACTATATTGTATACCTGAAACTAATATAATACTGTATGTTAACTACGCTAGAACTGAAACAAATTTTAAATCATGAAAATTTTCTTAAGAACACAAAAAGTTAAGATTAAAGCTAAGATGATTAACCCTTAACAACAAAAGTATTTAGTAATGGCGCACACCAGCTACTAGGCTGAGCAAGAGTGGACCATCTCCACATTTTTTCCTGATTGGGACTTCAGTGGGAATTTCTACATTTCTTCAATAAGCGTGATGTTGGCCTTTGGACAGAAATAGATTTATTATATCATGTTAAGGAAGTATCCGTCTCTGAGTGTTATTATCAAGAAAAGTTGATAGTCAATTATCAACTTGCCCTTTCCAGCATCCGGATGACAGTTACATCATTTTTCTTCATAGATCAATTAAATGATAAATTATATTAATAGATTTCCTAATACGGACCCATCCTTGCATCCTTGCATACGGGCCCTAACTCCCACTGCTGGACTCTGTTCACTCATATTTATTTAGCAGTTTTTCATCAATATTCATAAGTGGGACAGGTCTGTAGTTTTCTTTTTTGTGCAATCTTTATCAGGTTTGGTTTTAATACTATACTTACTGCTTAAAAAGAATCTGACAATTCTTTTAGGTTAAATACTGTTAGAATGATCTGCTCTTTAAATATTTAGTAGAAGTGTCAGTGTAAAACTGTCTGAACATGATGCTTTGAGAGGGGGCAACTCTTTAACAACTTCATTTCTGCTAGAAAAATCATCGTGTTTAGATTTCCTAAATGTTTCTGGTATCAGTTTGGGTCAGTTATATTTTCCTAAAAATTATCTTTTCCATCCAAGTTTTCAAGTTTATGTTCAAAGACTTAAATAAAGAGCCTCTCATGAGTCTTTAAATTTTCAATTTCTATTACTTCCCCTTCTCAGTTCTTAAGTTTGTATATATGTACGTCCTTCCTTTTTTCTTAATAGAGAGCTACATAATTTCAGAAATTTCATTGTCACAGTTCAATTGCTTTTCAAAGAGGCACCTTTTGGGTTACTCATATTGTTCTACTGTTTTTCTACTATATTAAAGTTCTTAAAAGAGTAGTCATGAGCAGGTGTTCTACATCTCTTCCCATTTTCCAAAAAAAATCACAGTAATACAGTGAACAGTAAGAATACAAAGGCAAGAAAGCAGAGATTAAATAGGAGCTGTCAATGTTATCTTGAATGATATCTTCAAATCCCAAACACCTGATCAAAAAACAGATAAGCAATAGGCAAAACAAACAAAACAAAACAAAAACCAAACTGCCATAAAAAAAGAAAAACTGAGCTTATACAGTAATTATTTCACTGGAAATAAGATTAGTTCTCACTATAATAAACTCACATTTTAACAACATAGGAGACACTCTGAGATTTTAATTATAAGCCTTCCACCTCCTGCCTGTCTCTAGCAATTAATTGCCCACCATTTCAGTCCAACAAGCACGAATTCCACTTCTCCCCAAAGTTCTCTGAGTGTTGCTGTCTAACCAGGCACTAAAACAGAGAGAGACCGCCTCCACATATCAAAGATCAGGCAAACAAACTGCTCATATGCCCTGCCAGTCAGCCAGTGCTGTCCAGGACCCACTGCTAACCTGAAGTGTGCTTCAAATGAAGCAGTCCCGTCCAAGTTTAGTTGTAACCAATCACCCAAAATAGGATCATGTTTTGATCCACTATAGGTAGTCTGAGAGAAACTAAACCCTAGAGAAGTTTGAAGGATTGAATCTTACCTTTTTGCAAAGTAGAAATCTACTATTAGGCCACAGTTTATAAAAGAGTGTTAACTTTCTTTACGAATACTAAAAAAGGTAGGATTAAGGCTAAGATGATAACTCTTCACATGAAAAATATTTGATAATAGTCCACAAAGACAGAGCCTAGAACTAAGCTGAACCAAAGACACTGAATAGGACTTATCTTCTAAAATCAAAAGGTGCTGCTTTTGTCACAGAAGTTTTGAGAGTCAGCATACAAATAAAAAACACAGAGATAATAAAGAGAAGTGAAGGGCTGTTAAACAGATTGGAGGTTGGGGTAGAGATAAATTTGACTTTCAAACCAATAACATTAAATCCATAAGCTTCAAGCTTACAGCCACCAAAACCTACCAAGGAGGTAATCATATCCTGCCCATTTCTGGGGCCAATCTGAGAACCTTCAACAAACAGTCAAAGCAAGAGTTGTACCAGGAGTGGAGATTGGACAGATTACAATCTAAACTGAAATATTTGGGGAAGAAAAGAGTTACAACAGCAAAGTAATAAGGACATATGTGTTGCATATGCATATGCATTGTAGGCTTGGCCCTACACCCAAAAAAAAGCAGTTTACTGGTCCAGATACAGAGATGTATACATGGCTATATAAAAAGACAAGACGGAAGAGATTGGAACAGAATCAGGCCCTGATTAGAGTTACTGTTTAGAGTAACCCTGTTAGAGTTACTGGGTGGATATGACAAATAAATCATTGGCTTATTTCCATCATGTTGGTTAATCTTTTAACAAAAGTGTCATTTATGTACCAGGTAACTGATTGGGAGGACTTTGGTTAAGATTTAGCAGAACTAAATTTTAGTCAAAGCTCATCTGAACGAGTTTGGAGATCTGATCAAGATGTTTGCATTCATTTGTTTTTCAGATTTCTGGGAGGGCATACCAAAGACACCAGGAGTATGTAAAGAGGAAGTTCAATGCAAGCACTGCCTTTAAGTACCCATTTATGAATACTGGTTTATAAAAGACCATTTATTTTTAAAATAAAGTTCAAAATTAATTCTCTGAGTCAAAAAACATTTAGGACTGGCCATGAGTTAGAGTTGAAGTGAGGGAGGCATAAGAAGTACAACTGCTAATGTAGATAAACAAGTCACACAGCGTCAGTTTCCAAACTGCCTCAAATCCAAAAAACCTCTACCTTTCCCACTCTCTTACTAGATTACTGTGTACAATATGCAGACCCTCGCTGTGATCTCCTATACCTACCCAATAATTCCTTAGGGAAAAGAAAAACAGAATTCCTATGAATTTTTAAATGCAGTATTTATCTTGGCATTGAGCCATATGTAGAAGACTAATCACCATTTTCTCCTCCAACAACTCTAAGGCAGTGGTTTACAAACTATGTTCTATTTGTTTAAAGTACAAATTGTCGGGGCCACACTCTGAGAAGCACTGCACCAAGGTATGGTGCCGTGGTTTGTGGACCTGTTAACGGTCTGCAACAGAAGCTGAGGCTTAACGAAAAAAACCTTTAGTTTAACATTACTGGGCACCCGAGCGTGTGATCATTTTTCTGGCTTTTTTTTCTTACTGTATTTTCCAAAAGTATTGGTATGAGATTGGAAAATTGTTAACTTTGTAAAGCACAGCTCTAAAGCTGACGCCCCCGCCAGCACTACTGGCGAACAACCAACAGACAGGCGAGGACCAGGCTAGGGCAGCTCCTGACAACTGGGAGAAACCAGGCAGTCATGGTGAATAACAGAAGCCCGAGGGCAATTCTTGCAACCAGTACAGAGGACTGAGATACAATTTCAAAACTGCAGCTTTCATCGTTCGGTAGCATTCCATTGCTTCCCGTGACAACACGTCACCATCGCTGCAAGTAGCCAGTATCCCAGCGAACCGTGCACTAGAGAAAAGGGGAGGCACAGAAGCCGGCACTGAGGACACACCTGTGAGTAAGATCGGAAATCGGGTCAGCGCTTTTCCTACCCAAAGTTGGGAGCCATCAGGGTATTTGCACTCTAGGTGAGTTTTACCAACATACTAGATTCTATCAAAATGCTTCATACTGTTTAACGGACAGAGAAGTCAAACAAAG